ACACACACACACACACACACACACACACACACACACACACACACACACAGTTTCATCTTTGTGTCTTACTGGTGCCTGTGAGACTGGGGTGGCTGAGGTGAGCTCCATTGGAGTATCTGCTGCAGGGACGGGGACAGAGGCAGGAACTGGAGCAGAAGCTGGCACCAAGTTAGACAGCAGGGTGAAGGGAGACGCAGGACGCCACTCGGTTAGGTTTATGGCTGGGAGGTAGGCGAGCAGGACGGCAGTGGACGGACCCCACAACCATAAAGCTATATATAGACAAAAGACTGGGAAGGTTAACCCACACTCATCTGCAGGTTGGTTACTCATTAACTTACAAAGTGTGGACAAACCTTCAGAAATGTATTTTAAATTATGGTCAATATCACAGACGCCAAACAGGCTATTATACAGACAATGTTGAATGTAAAGCTGCAGCAAAAAAAAATAGTGTCTTGTGTTCAGTAGCTGCACTTAAGTGTTGGAACAAGCACAAACAGAATTAATATTTGAAAAGGGACTTCAAGGAAAATAAAAACGAGGATTCAAGGGACAAGTATGTCATTTATGGAGTAGTTCACCAGACAACCAAACAGAATAAAGTAAAAATGACAGTTTGTGTTTTGCTGCTGTGTAAGTATGCAATGCTGGAACAGACTCACTAGAAGTCTCACTAGTCTCACTAGTCTCACTAACTCACTAGAAGCCCAGAAAGGCTGACCTGAATCTGATTTGCAGCATACTCTGGGGACGCGTGCTGGTAAGGACATGTTCTGCCTCTCTACCGGCCGACCCTTCTCTGGATGTGCTCACTAAATGGGTTACAACTGCTATAAAAGAAGATAAAGCTTCTTATGAACTCACCGAGGAGGAGCAAAAGGGGCAAAAGGAGCAGCAGGAGCCTCCAGAGTTTGGGAAGGCATCTGAAACACAGAGTCACACACTGGTTAGATAGACACACAACTGAGTGGAGTGTGTGCTGTTAATAAAAAAAAAAAAAAAGACAAGGACCCTCATGAATCAAAACGGTCCAAACTCCTCAGAGTAATACAGGCACTGCTCCTCGTGACAAGTTGGCTTGAATTATTCATCAAATTGCAGTATTTCAAGACACCGGGTAAATAACTCCATCATGATTGCTGCCATAGCTCTGAAAATGTGGCTTTACTGAAAAATTTGTTGTTTTTACTCTCATTTAAATATTTAACAATCCTATAACTTCATCAACTAACAACTATCTCGTCATTAAATCTTAATGATTATGCAGAAAATTATGTATTTTGAACACGTTAGCCCTCGATGGTCATATAGGGGCAGCGGACACAACAGAACAATGACATAATATCACCTTATAAAGATCATATGGTGAATCTGTTAGCAAACAGTTGCTTATTTACACATCAAAGGTTAATAAAAGGGGGAACGGGCTCTTACCGTGTCAGAAAGAAGACGTTGAGGAGAGCCATGAGATACACCAGCTGGTACCATCCTGTTGCAAGAAACCACAGAAGTCCTCTGCCTGCCTTCACTGAGAATGACAACACGATCAGACCACGTTGCCGAAGAAAGAAGCAGAGAAGAAGATGAGACCCAAGTACCACCAACCTGGAGCTGCCAACAGCATCCAGAACAAGGAAAGGAGCGTCTGCACCACTGTCCCAACCCCGGATCCCAACGCCTGGCCTGCTCTCACCACACAGTAACCTGGCTGGATGAGAAAGTGACCTGGAAGACAAAAACAAAATGTCAACTGATTAATTAAAGCAAGAGTGGTCCAAACCTACAAAGAGGTCGAGTTATAGACCTATCAGTAATGTAACGGTATATGTACAGGCTGTCATCAACATTAGTGAGGTGCTGGTTAACCTGTGTAAGCTAGGACGCTCCACAGTGCGCCCAACAGGCGTCGAGGCCTGGAGGCCTGTGTGAGGAGGACGGTGTGCGTCTCTGAATGCTGCTTCCCTTTACAGTCGTCGCCTGTGTGCGCCGAAATGATGGATGGCAGGCAAACAGAACACACAAACACAAAAAGGACACATGAACGACTGACATCAAGATGGCTGACAAGCAAAACAACACAATAAAAAACAATTCTGAAAATAACCCAATCAACAGAAATTTAACTACAAAATGAACAAGCAACACTAAATCATACGTTTGTAATAGAAAGAAAATACAAGTGGGCCACATGCATGCATGTTGCACAATATGCGATTTACTGTATGAGATGACAACATGAAAAGCTAAACATATATATGAATGAAACTTTCACTACATTGTAACTGTTTCATTATCAGTCTAACTGTACAAATGTGGGGCTATAAGTGGACTTCACTTCTTTTCTATGATCCAAAATTCAGTTTACTGTCAGCTGAGTGAAGCTGCATTGCTTTGTTTGTGTGTCTCTTATTTTACTTTGTTCTTTACATTTGATCCATGTTTTGTTTTATATTTGTTATATTATTTCTAAATTTAAGAGAAAGGTCCACTACTTGACATTTTCTTTGTCCTTGTCTGTTTTTATACAAGTGTAAAATAAAAACTTTAACTACACTAAAGACAAGCGGGCTGCTAAAGTTTATTAATGTCTGAAATGATCATTTATGTCACGTTTTGGTGTCAAATTGGTCCCTCAAACAGATTTGGTTGATTGAAAGAGAAGTATCTGCTGATTGGTTAAAGCAGTTCACACAACCTCTGCTCACTGGTCCTAAAACAGGTCACGCATATAATTAACTCTGTCAATGACTGACACCACAAGAAAATACAAAGAAGAGGGAAAAAGAAAAAAAAGTGTGTGTGGTTTGTGTGTCTGCTTACAGAGGGAACCATTGAGTTTGAGATGTGATGCATCTTCAGTCACCAGATCCTTCACATTCATGCTTCCACAGAAACTCGAGTGAGCTGCAACAAATGCACAAGACATTTATTTACACAACAAAAACCACGTCGCGTGAGAAAATAGTGACGAAATCAACGTTAGATGAAGAAGAAGAGTAAATGCACATGTCGGCAATGTGACTGGCACAGAGGTGATCGATTTCATCATGAAGAAAATGAGAATAGATCTGCATGAAAATGGTTGAAGAGGATTCATGTTTACAACTGCTGGAAACAAGAATAAAGACATTTTAGCTCCTGAAATTCTCCTGCAGCTGTGAAAGAACCAAATTAAATCAGCAGTATACTAGAAATAAACATCAATTAGGTAGTCGGGGTGTCTTTTTAGCTGCTCGAGTTTTCATGAAAGTGTGCATCTTCTTACAATCTCATTTGAGCTAAAGGTGCAACTTGTCATGTGATCGGTTTGTCCGAATTTGGGGGATGTACAGTTTTTATTTAGTTTCTAGTATACCTTCTCCTTCAGAAATAGAAAGCAACAGTGTGAGAGTGAAGGCCGGATGGACTGAGAAAGAAACAGAGATTATAAAGAGATCCTTCAAAGTCAATATTTATCCTATTATGAGGCTTCTTACTCCTTAAACAAAAAAGGAAAGATCTTAGGAAGGAGAGAAATAGTGAGAAGAAAGTTTATTAATAGAAGAGGTCAGGGGCCCTTTGTAGTCACGGCTGGTACCTTGTCCTTCATAGCCATTAGCTCTGTAGCCCATCATCCTGTGGAGAGTGGTCTGCTTAAACAGCCACAGTTGGGAAAAAGTGGAGGACACGGCTTGTCTCATCGAGTCCGAAAATGATGCAAGGACACCTGGTGACACACCCGCCCCGCACAATCTCCGTTAGTCAAAACGCACAGTCAAGGCTATCCTAGAGATGCACAGTAATACAAAGAGAAAATGGTGATAAGATAGCCTGCGAGAAAAACGACAGGATGCTATGAAAAGCCCGGTGAGAGGAATGATAATAAGGTTACATGTGAAATAGAAATAGACCATGAAACTGCAAACTCAGGAAAAATTGCTCCTGCAAAAGACCGAAGAAGAAAGAAACAAACAGAGAATGATGGGTGAAGAGAAGAGCAAAGAACATCTCTTGTTTTTATACCTTTTCCTGGAAGGCTCTTGGCCCGTGAACCCAGCCAGAGCACATTGTTGAAGAGCAGGGTGACTAAGGACACTATGGGGGCCAGGGCTCGTTTGCAGTAGCGCAGACACGTGTTAGACATGGACACCAGGACACCTGGAGAGAGACGCCACTACTAATTACATTCTCATCATCACAACATACTGCCGATTCCACCCCACCGTCCAGCTCCAATACATTTGCCGAATATGAGGAAGAACAGCATTATAAATACAACATTTCAGTCAAACTCAACCGTTTCTCACCCGTCTTGTTCCTTCGACTCCTGTCTCTGGAGTATACGCTTGTGAAAGGTGACGAGGAGGAGGAAGAGAAGAGGCCTTCTGAGGAAGCTTGTGCAGTCTGAGATGATGATGATAATGATGATGATGAAGACTGTGTGATAGGGGAGTCTGTCTTCGGAGAGTGGAAAGAGCAGTCTCTGCAGATGTATCCATTGGCGAGTGAGGTGTGGGACTTTGACGCACTGGCGTCGCCGTTGACATTTGACGACCTGTGGTCACTGCTGGAGCTCTTCCCTGAGAGAGAGAGGACGGAAAAATAAGATGCAACTCAATAACACACAGGGAAATGTTCATAAAGTATTAGTAAAGAAGTTACTAAGCAAGTATATTGCTTCATTTGTTACATAGTGGAATAGTGAATACATACAGTGGTGGAGGAAGAATTGTGTGAAAGTATAAATTCATAGTAGCATTCATAATTGTATGCAAAAGTACACATGAACTATAGAGTGTGACTGTTCATTTGTGATGGAATCCACATCTTTCATCAACTGACCCCAGTGTCCATCCACAGAAGTAGAAGTGGTGGTAGTGGTGACGGTGCGTTGTCTCAGGTGGGACTGGTCCAGGATGGAGGTGAGCAAAGAGCCATCAGACGCTGTGTTGCCTTCATGAATGATGCTGCTGCTGCTGCTGCTGTTAATCGGGGTATTTGCGGCTGAGAAGGAGAGGGTTTTCCTCGGTGTGTCGGCTTGGCTCAAGGATAAAGACATTGAGCTGGAACTGGACTGCTGCTGCTGCTGCTTTTTACTCCGCAGCGTCCTGGGAGAGCAGAACATGAGCTGTGAGTTTTGTCACATGTAAACCAGTATGGCTACGGAATGTAAACAGGAAGTAGATTGGTTGCTTAGTTTAAAGGTCGGGTTTGATGCGCAAGATCTTCCTTTACAAGTTTTATTATTCAAACTTAGTTACAACGCTGCAGATCTTACGCACGCACGCACGCACGCACACGCACACGCACACGCACACGCACACAATCACTGGTCGACATGTATTTTCTACACAGCAGCGCTAATTGCTCCTCATTCGATTTAATTGCTTTATTAGTTGTGTGGGAGTGTTGGCGTCCACTGCTGGTCTCACCGTGTCTCTCTCCTGGTGCAGCTGCTGCTGTGGTTCTGCGAGTAATCGGCCAGGGTCTCGTGGCCATGTTGACCGGCACCGGTCTGCAGACGCAGGCTCCGCCGTGACATCCTGGGCGACTCGTACACGGCAGGGATCTGGTGCTCCTTCTCAAAATCTAACGCTGCTGTGGAGTAGCTAGAGCTGAGAGAGAGACAGGAGTGGAGCAGAAAGAGCGGGAACGTTAGAAAGTGGAAAATCCTGGAGGAGACAACAAACAGACCTCGAGCAACTCCAACCTCAAATCAATACGGGGATATCATGCACTCTTCCTAATTTGTGTACCATCTTCAGAGAGGCTTTCTTTTTCAAATAAAAATAAAGAAAAAGCAGGAACAGACAGTCCGGGTAGAGAGCTGTGATGCGGTTTTTCCCCGCAACTGGCAGTGGGCCCAGCAGGAAGTGACTCACTCACAAGGGAGGGAGAAAAGAAGACAAAAGAACAGACCCAGTGCATTTCTGAAAGTAAAATTCAAGAAAAAGAAAAAAAGCCACATAACCATCCCAAAGTATGCAAGTAGGCTGAAAAAAAAAAATAAATGATTCTCCACTCACTGCAATCGAAAGTCAACCGTGAGTGGAAACACACCATTGTAAGTTTGCCATGCGTTGTACAGCTGTGACTCACAGTGCCACACCCACCTGGCAGAGTCGAGGCAAACATTCAGACACGACTAACAGGCAACAGGGCACGAGTTGCGAAATTCAGTGGAACCATGATAAAAATAGTTTTATATAATCCCACTTAGCTGGTGCAAACAAACAAACAAAGCTGAACTCTACCCTCTTTCTCTGCTGTGGTAAAGCAGGTACAATTTTAGAGGCAAAATGAAATTAAGCTCTTATTTTATAATTGATTTGTGTTCACTGACAGCTTACAATATTTGTATTGTGTGATCAGTTATAATAACAAACTAAAATGACCCTTTGCAGACTGTGTACACTCAGCATGTGGCTCAACTAGGTCAGGCAGAAATACTCTACAGACATGCACGGGAGGGTGGATGAAAGAGGAGGGGCAAAGCACTTTATGTGTCGCTGGAGGACAGAATAAACTTCCTGTTAGACGCTTGAAAATAAGGGACCTTCGCTGTACAAACAAGAAGTGTTTGGTTTAAGGCACGAGCACAGAGTCCCTGACGGTGGTCCTAGCACAGCAGTGAGTATATCGAAACTTGCACACAAGACAAACTACAAGTACAGTGCATTTTGCTCTCTGGCCCTACCTCCAGCTCTAAACCTTGAGGATTACACACCGAGAGCCAATTATGTGCTTTCACCCTGGCACCGCCTCCTGCTCCAACTGGCTTTTCTCTGAACACATTACCAGGGACGCACCTCTCCTTCTATATGCCGTTGACCAGTTAGCTAGCATACCTGTACATGTTTAGGACCACAGCCCTTGTTTACATGTGTGGAATATAGTTTGTTTCACTAAAAGCACAACACTAGCAGACAATCATTGTCTTTTCCCTTTTAACACAACCCTCTCCTGATGTCTTACTGTCCAAGAAATAAATCTTTGAGAGGAAAAATTTGTCTCGAGTTGAACCTGTGAAAACCAAAGGTCGAAGATAAAGCTAGGTTGATTTATAACCTCACAAAACTGTCCAAACAGCGCAATTATGTATGTGTGCTCCTGTACCTCGAGGGCCATGTGTCTGTGTGTGACACACCCATCTCCTGACACAGTTGCATACCTACAAAAAATAAAACAATCTCACCCGGAAGGACCGCTAGCAGTATCAAGCAGACCATATATCTCTACATGTACCGAGTTGCCTGAGAGAGATAGTCACACACTGCCAATAACACCAGAGGCCAGAGGCCATGCTGGGACAGTTGAGCATAGAGCTCACTTTCACTGTGGTCTCCTGTTGTAGACACCCTGGAGGAGACACTCAGTAGCTGAACACAGGTGGGCCAGATATCCACAGAACTGTCCGTCACATTTACATCACTGCTTGTCCGATTCAAATTTGACATTCAAATCATGGAAAATAGCAGCGGGGCTGAGTTTCCAACATAGAAGACAGCTACATTCATTCCAGTGAATATGACTGCATAACAATATTGCATTAACAAACTTCTCAGTTGCAAAGTATAGCTACAGGGCAGAGCAGGGTGTGTTTGAGAAAGAAAACAGTATGTATGTCTGTCTGTCTGTCTGTCTGTGTAGCCTACAGCCAGGAGCAATTGTTAATGTAACCTTTTACTCTACCTGGCTAACCAGGAACAGTCACATAGATATTTATTTGATCAACACAACAATCTGGTTAGCACAAAATTAAGATTGTGCATCTCCATGTAGTGCTGGCGATGACACGGTCCTTAAACTAAAACAATGTTTAACACTTAGCGACTGTTAAGATCCCAGCCTGTGTCACCAGAAGCTGCACACAATATTCAATTAGTTAGCAAACTCTTTTCAGATGTTCTGAAAACGGATCTGTGTGCTGCTCTCCCACGGCCCACATCACTGATAAAAATAGAGACTGACACTGTGCTTTCAGAACCGAGTGAAAAAGACACAGATAAAGAGACAGACTAACAGTATGGAGAGAGGAGATGCTTCCATCGTGACATTCAGCTTCCTGGAATCTCTCCTTACATAACACTAAAGCTTTGATGCTCTTCCCACACTCGGTGGGCACAGCCAGCCTTCTTACAAGACACAACTACACAGAGCATCCGATCAGATAGTATTCTACATTTTAGGAGCTTATGTTGTTCCATTTACCACATAACATTATGCATATGAGCATGGATGGGGCTCAAGGTTGACACAATTGTCAACTCATTACACTCCGTTTCCATCTTCAGTCTGACATCGTTTCCACTATAATCCATTTCTATGGGTGGTGGGGGGTTAGAAGTTCGCTAGCTGATCACTAGAGACCAACGTATCTGCCTGAATTTAAGTCGACAGGTGATGTGTGGCCATGAAAACATACTTTGTGTACGTGTTTTAAGATTGGAGCTGAGCATTTATGCTTAATAATACAATATGATCTAGGTCTAGCTCAAGATTTATATTACTTCAAGATTGGAGTGAAATCAGATCTTCCAGACGGGACAGGATGGGATGATTTATCCATGTTCAAACACAACATGATGAATGGGTTTGTGTCATCGAGAGTGCATCTGCCGGTGGGATGAAAGCACCTTTACCGGCTCAACATATCATACCCTGGAGACAACAAGAGACTACATTTTATCACGGCAGTGTTGGGCTCACCGCAGCAACCAACATGGCAAAACAGGCTCGTCATCATTTCTTTCAGATCAAACCACAAAGCCGCGGAAGACAAGTTCCTCCATGACAAAGAAAACATCACTTCTGGCGAGTCTACACCTCCAGTACCATGTTTGTTGCTGCCACTAAAAGGGACTTGCCACCCACCCACCTTCTGCCTGCTTTGCATGGTCTATGCTGAAAAAGTGATCACCCATCATCACAAAGCATATAGGACGGACACAATGAGAGACATCAGGTTCACACGCAAGGACAATGATCTTTACCCCCTAGAAAGCAGATGTGTTTTGCATTTGAACAGATGACATTTCTGTTTGGTTATTTGGAGCAATAATGCATTACCTGAACAATGATGTAATCATAACATTTTGGTGCTGCAACTAAATGCACATACTAATACTACAGACACTAATATTGCATATTATTCTCTTTATACTGGTGATCGATGATTAATTGTTGGGTAAATAAAATATGTTCCTAAGATCCTGACGTCTTCAAATTGCTTGTTTTGTCTGACCAACAGTCTTAAAAAAAAAAAAAAAAAAAAAAAAAAAAAAAAAAAAAAAAAAAAAAACTTGATTTGATAACTGAATAAACATTAACCAAATAAAAAAAAAATGAAATGGTTGGTTTCTTTTTTTTTCTGCTAGACTTCCACAGGGAACCAAACAGTGTTAAAATAAGATCCACTTTCTACTAATTCTGCTAACAAACAAAGAAACTGATCTTATAACAGGACCTAATCAGCAGCCCAACTATGAAACACTCGCCACCGCTTGTGGTCTCAAACATATTTCAGAGATTATAGAAACCACGTGAGTTGTAAATCTCAACTTCAAAACCAAAAGTGTGGTTAGAATTTGGCACTGTGATTAGGATCGGTGAGAGAGAGAGAGAGAGAGAGAGAGAGAGAGAGAGAGAGAGAGAGAG